GCAAAGATTCATGCCAATACTTTGATTCTGGACCCCTTGTTACTCACAAACTCCCTCTTATCATTCTCTGTTCTACTTGGACTTAGCTATCTCTCCCAGAGATTATCATCTCTGCTTTTAACAACTTAGCTTCTGACTGACATTTGACCAACCACGAACATGTTCCTCTCACCACCTGTCCAATTGCTCTCTTTTTACAACAAGGCCTAGTAGAATGAGTGCATGAGATCCAGTCAAGCCACCCCAAGGACCACTTGCCATCCCCAACACAAAGAGGCATTCATGAGTCACTACTTCGTATTGATAGCTCATGTCAAACCCTCTTGCCCTATTTAGATTGTAAATTCCACGAAAGTAAGGAACCTGGATTTCTCTTCTTTACAACCCTAAAAGACATGTGGATAGAACATATTTTTAAAGACTCACAGAACTCTAAGTTGGTTTAAAATAAAACAGAAATTTAAAGATGGGTAGTGAGGTGTCAGAGAAGCCTGTTCCTGAGCTCATAGAAATTTTGATTTGCCAGGACTAATTTCAGCCCCTAAATTCTACTTGGATCTACCTTCAAATCTCTATTTCCCCCAAACTTCCTAGTCCCTACTCTAAACTACAGCTGCTACTCTCAGTAGACACAGCCCCATTTTCTGAGGCAGATATTTCCCTGAGAGGATGCTGATTTAATACACCAATTGTGGGAAACAGAATATAATAATAATGGTTAAAATGCATGCAATCTTACTCTGAATGGTACACTTATTTTAAGCATTTTACTTATATCAACTCAGTTATCCTTATGACAATCATATAACATAGCCACTAGAAGTATACCACCCTCCCTACTTTATAATGTGGTAGCCTTAGTAATGTGGTAGACTTAGGTTGGTTGCAAATTATTGCTACTCTTTCTCCTATTGAGAAGTGGTATTTATGTCTCCTCCTCTGAAACTGGGAAAGCTCTTTGACTGTTTAGACTAATAGCATGTTGTACAAGGGACACTACCAGTTACCTAGCCCAGGCTAGATAAAACTGGCACCCTCTACTTCCTGCCCCTGGAAGTACTCTCTCTGGAAGCCCTGAGCCTCTGTAAATAGAGCCCATCTACTCTGCTGGAGAAACCACAAGGAGAATCTCAGAGAACACATAGAGAAGGAAAAGGGCCCTGCTGAGTCCCATCTTCCCAGTTAACTCACCAAAGCACAAGGTATGTGAATAAAGCCAGACCCTCCAGGCAAAGTCAACCGCTGAGTGACCACAGTTATCTCTCTAGATGGGGCAGAAGAATTGCCTTGCTGAACCGTGCCCAAATTTCTGTCTCACAGAATTTTGAGATCTAATGACATAATTGTTTTAAATCACCAAGTTATGAGAAAGTTTGTTTCATAGAAATAGTTAACTAGAACTTACATGACTTGTCTGGGGTCATGTAAGCTAATATGAGGATGAACAAAGTTTTAAGCCCAGTTAATCAAGCTCCAAGTACATGCACTGAATCACTATGCTATAGCCTTATCACTGGAAAAATACAACAAATTTGGCCAAAGCACCCTGATCACCGTGGAGGAAAAGCTTTCCTCAAGCTACGCTACCTTCTATTGTTAAATGACTCTAAAGTAGGTAATAAAGCCTGTCTTGTTTTCAGATGTATTCAGTAAATATTTACTGAGCACTTATGAAGTACCAGGCCTTTACTTGAGAATTATCACTCACACACCTGCTTTCTCAATGCACATCTTAATTTTTTTTAATTCAATAGAGTACCTAGAGATATCCTTCTCAATGTAGGATCAAGACCTGATGCTTGGGCATGATTGCTATGAGTAAATTAACATCATTCAGGTTATTCACAGATAGTTCTACACTCTTACCTGTAACAAAATGGAATCAGAAAGATCAAAGCACCAATTACTTCTAAGAGGCTATAACGCTAGAGAGACATACCATCTCAAAAACTACTTGTTCACATTCACGCACAGTTAAGAGCAGCACTGAAAGCACTTTACAGTTTTCCTTTGATCTGAAATCAACACTAACCCAGGTCGACCAGAAAAGAACTCCTGAAAGGATGTTTTCTTCGCTTTTGCTTTAAGAAAGAACTAGAAGGTTTTCAAACAGACAGGTTTTTATACTGGTGGACCCATGTGTTTAATTTCTTTCTCCTAGAGGAGTCTCATTTTAGGAAAACTTTGCTTTAATAATGTTATTAAAGCAAAAGAGGACAGACAGTGGTATCATCTGGAAAATGTTCTATGTATGATTTCACATATAGATAAAAAAGTGAATAGGAAATCCAGTCTTCCCTACATTTTTTCCCCACTCACTTCTGAAGTATCTCCCAGAGATCAGACCTTTATGAATCCTCCTCATCTAAGAAAAGTAGTGGGGTCACACAGGCATATTAATGCATCTGGGAAGGACCTTCCTTACATGCAGTCTCTAGAGTCTGGGAATTGTCCTAAACCTTGAATAGAATTCAGTAGTTGTTGGGTTCCTAGTCCTAACATAGGTTTGGCATGATCAACAGAATGTGTTTAAGACCAGACTAGGCTTGAACACGAGGCTATTAAGTTTTTATGGAGCACAGGGCAGAGTTCTGATGACTAGTGGTCAAGAACAAAAAAGATTTCCAAATCCCTTGACACAAAGTTATTTCCTCTAGTTAGTCCTTCAAAAAATCCAGGGCTTTTTAAACCCTTCATCCCAGTCTAATCAATTCTTGTAGGCTATTAGCTTTCCTCCAAGAAGATGTACTTACCCTTAAAACCAAAGAGTCTCAACAGGTTTATAACTCATTTTTGTAGACTTGGTAGAAGTAAAAGGAAAAGCATGTAGATGTAGTTCAATTATGACTGGACTTAAAGAAACACATGCCAGAGAGAGGCTGTTGGAGAAGGCATTCCCAGTTGTTTACCTCCTCTAAAATGGCCATACGTTCTATAATGTTTAGAGTTATAATCACTAGCAAGATTTTGTATCTTGTACCCTACTTTTCTTCCAAAGCTCTGACTTTCTTAGTTTGTGGAAAGACTTTAGGAACTCACCCAGTTTATTCCCATTTATGTATGTGCTACAGAAGGGAAAGCCAAAAACCAATAATTACTACGGCTTGGTTCCCAAATCCCCATGTAACATTAAATCATCTCAAGGTCAGTGAAAATTTGGACTTAAAAAGAACTACAGGACCAGCCATTCCTATGAAGAAAAACCCATTTGCTTCTCTGCTTCCCACAGAGTTAGCAGAATACGTTCTGACAGAAACAAAACAAGTCTGCCAAGGCCTGTGCAGACAGAACCATCCTTTCACCAACAATAAACAGATCTGCTCTTGAGCTAGAGAGAGTCATAATAGAAATATACATTGCCTTTTATCTTCTTTTCAGTGAGTAGAGCAAGGCGTCAGGAGTTATTGGTTTAATATCAGTAGAGAAGAGCTATTTTTTTTCTCTTGAGCATGTGTGTAGGTATGCATGTAATAGCATGTGTGACTGTAACAGTGCTATGCTAACCAGGTTTTTAGAAGCCTTTTGAAAACCGTAAAATTGCCCTTATGACATTGTCAGCATATACAACTTCAAATTGTTACTATGGAGACATGTAAAGAGCTGTCTCTGCTCAAGGAAAAAGGAAGGCAACAGATAATACACTTACCATTACCTAGCTCACATATATTTAATTCTGAAAAATGGGAACATATAGGTGGTATAATTGATTATTGACTTTAAGTTAACAATGTCCATTGGAGTCAATGTAAGGGTGATGTTAAAGACACAACTGAGCTCCTGGATAATGTCTTAAAACTAAGAAGCAAATGGGACAAGTGCTAATCTACTGAATGTTCTATAACACTAACTAGGCTAGGGGTAAGTAATTGTCCCACAAGTGACTGGAATGTCTTATGGTATGCCAGAGCATTTAAGGTTAATAACTCAGTTAACCTCCTGCCCCCTACTAACTAGATTTATCAAATGCCAAGGGAGTCAGCAAAGTATTAAGCTTAGTTTGGATATAATTACTTTCAAATGGAAAAAAAAATTGCCACAAAAACAAGGACTTCCGGTATAGCCAAACTCAAACCTTCAAATTTTCTACTGTAATTAGTATCTGGATCAAATATAAAGAAAACAAAATGGGCACAAACCTGACACTTGATTAATCAGGACTTGATAACAAACACAAAGACTGCATTTTACAAGGATTAGTTGCACTTCTAACTTTAACTGCCCCTGATTTAATGGTACCCATTGACCTCAATAATGAATGATTCATGTTACAGCAAAGCCATCTGGAGAATGTGAATGAAATTGAACTAGGATACAGGCTTTCATATAATAACAAATTTTCCTTCCCCTCCTTTCCCTTTCTGCTATTTGAAAAGAAAAGGTGCCGGGCGCGGTGGCTCAAGCCTGTAATCCCAGCACTTTGGGAGGCCGAGACGGGCAGATCACGAGGTCAGGAGATCGAGACCATCCTGGCTAACACAGTGAAACCCCGTCTCTACTAAAAATATAAAAACTTAGCCGGGCGAGGTGGCAGGCGCCTGTAGTCCCAGCTACTCGGGAGGCTGAGGCAGGAGAATGGCATGAACCCGGGAGGCGCAGCTTGCAGTGAGCTGAGATCCGGCCACTGCACTCCAGCCTGGGTGACAGAGCGAGACTCCGTCTCAAAAAAAAAAAAAAAAAAAAAAAGAAAAGAAAAGGTAATAAAATTAAAGGAGAGAGTTTTTCATACTGAAAGTGTAGTCCATTGCTCATTTTGAATAACAACTTTACTATTTCAGTGATAAATACAATAAGAATAACAACCCATGAGTGCCACAGATTTTTATGACTTCTTTAGCAATGACTTCACCTTTCTCTTCTCCTGGGTCTCATTACTATGAGTATCGGCAGGCATCCCTCTTACATAGTAATTCAAACTCTTTAGCTACATAAAACAATGACCATGACAACAATGTTTCAAAGACAAAAATGCAGACGCAATTAATACTTGGAAAAAGGCCTACCTGAATGCTGGCGGTAGAGCGATTCTTACGGGTTGTGGTAGTCGCCATTGTAGTAGTGGTTTCCATGACAGTAGTAGACATTTCTGGTGGCATGGAGGTCGTCTGTGTTGTTCCCAAAATTGATGGGACTTCTCCAACCAGCCGAACGCTTCCATTGATTTTAATATTGGGGTTGTTCTCAGCTGCCATGTTCAGTACTTTCAAACCATCATAATAGAGCCCAGAGAGTTGGCCTTGGAAGAGGCGTCCTTTGTCCTTTCCACCAATGGCTATTTGCGCCTGAGTGTTGAAGATGGTTAACTGCCGGCCTAGTGGGTTGGGTGGAGGAAACATTATTATTCTCATACATTTTCCCTGTTTGCCTTACCTGGTCTGAATGGACCAGGCATCATAACAGGTTTCCTTGAGCAATTGAAGGGGAGGAAAAATTAGACAACAAAACCTCAGTACTGACATTAGCAAGTAACATTTCATTATGGTTATCTCTTCCACTGTCTAGCTGAAAATCTTTGATAACTTGAACAATCAAGCCTCTCTTTTTTTATAGTGAGGAAGAAGAAAACTTGGTTCAATGATAAGTATTACAGTCTTCTTGGGTATATAATTGTGGATGACAGAAAGAAACACTCAAATCAGGTGATGACCAGAATAAATTACAGATACCTACTGCATTAATTTTTAAAGCTATGAAGTAAAATAATGAGAATGAAAAGAATTATATATGGCCAAAAAAACTCAGTGAGGTGACTCAGAAAACTAAATTTAAAAACTAGGTCTGATAATTAAATTAGCTGAAATTAAATTTTAGTTAAGAGACTTGGATTCATTACATACTTGTAAAAATGAACTACTAGTCACCAAACATATCATTTCTCATCACCAAACATTTCCTATAAATCTTCATAGGGCATAATATTCTATTTTCTGTTTAACAAAATCATGAGAGATAAATTCCTATCTCTATTAATTTGTTTTTAGGAGGATGGATTATGGACCCACAACTAAAGTATTCCCTCAGTATGAAATATAAGCATATTGGTAATGCTCCAGTCCTGGGGAAGTTGTCCTTCAGATTTAATAAATTTTTTTAAAGTGGATGGATATTAATGAAGAAAGCAACACACAAAACTCCTTAAAATGACATAGAGGTATGTTAATGAGTTGAAGAGTATCAGTAGCTCACTTTATTTCGAGTTTCCACGTTGACACCATTTATACCACTCTGAAAAGTATCAAAATAAAAAATCATACCAGTATAGAGTTTAGAAGAATGAAACCCAACTAAAATTACTCCCAACTCTTTCTACTTATAAAACTCTCTCTCAAGTACGAGATTTTTTTTCCCCAAGAAAACTCAAAGGGCTTTTTAAAACTTATTGCAATTTATCAGAACAGCAACATGCTAAGGCCTTCTTTACTGTTATTTCTGCAGATTAATTCATCTTGCTTTTCCATATGAAGAAAGGAAAAAAGAAAGACGTTTTAATGGAATTAAATATATGCCTTCTGAATTTTTCTCCACTTAGTGATCAAACAATGCTCCACTCATTCTTAATCTAATCACCCGAATTACCTTAGCTAGAAATAACTAGAAACAATTTTGTTATTTCTGGCTACTTAATAAAAAGGAGAGTGTTTTTAACAACTGAGTTTTTGCTTTATAATTTTCAACATGAATAGAGGGATAATGTCATGTTTGGGCTTTAAAAATCTACCACTATTATATGGTCTTCAAGGCTACACAATGTTGACCTATCCTTGAATTCCTGGTGTATAATGTGAAATACCTTCTCAATGTATAACGATGAAAGAAATGGAAGTGGCAGAGAAGAGAATGCTCTTCTGTCAGAGGATACTCCTTAGACAAGAGTTAATTCTGCTCACTGGGTGACTCATAGTGCCCATTAATCAAGAATGATTTCTAAATAATACCCCTCTGGAAGCTTTCAACACTGCAGTATGGTGAATTGGCCAGAGAATTTTGTTACAGTGAAAATGATCTATACTTTATAAAAATCTCCAGAATCCGAAAATGGGATCTCCTGGCCTTAATGATTACAGAATTACCCAGATCCCAAGGGTGCAATCAAAACAGATCTCATAGATTTTCATCATTTTCTCAGCAATTCATTTAGTGTGTTGTGCATGTGCATCATTGTCTGTATTTTGTCCTCTGTCCTCTTCACACAAGATGCAGCAGAAAGTTCAATGCATAATAACACTAAGTAATCTGCTGGAGTTCATACCTCTTTACTGTTTATTCTTAATGATTGTCTTTTTGTTTGTTTGTTTGTTTGTTTGTTTGTTTTCTGGAAGCCCTGAGCTTACTACAAAAGAAATGAAATGATGGAATGGGAAAATAAATTCTCCCTCAACCCCACAGAGGCATTTGAAGCAGCTTAACATAATAAATTAGAAGCAGCTGCCTAGTAGAAGATTTCTAGGATAAAAATTCAGTGTCTTACATTAGACAGCCTTAATGCCAAGAGATACCTTCTGTACACACAACTGCTGGCCAATCATGATATTTATCCATCTCTTTATTTTGTTTATAGTTCAGCACTGGTGATAAGTTAACAGTTATACTTGATTACCGGTAGAAAATCTCACATAGATAACCTCTATAATAGTTTCTCATCTTATTTCTCCAGTGGTATTATTATGCCAATGCTTACAAATAAAAAGAGGGTCAGAGAAAACTGAAATGCAAAGCCAAATTACACTGGCTAGAGATGATGAGTCTCCTTCATTGCAGTTGCCATCATTCACTCCACAAAGTGCTCTTTGCCTGTTCAAGACTGACCCAAGCATCAGGAAAGGCAAGGCAGGTTTCCTGGGCTGCAAGATTAAAGTGCCCCTCTACTCCTGACTACAGCTACTTTCCGAGAGAGATCTGACTCATCACTTCTTGAGAATAAGACCCTGGTGGAGTGTGACAGTAAAGGGGGTTCTCTATGTTTCAGTTTTTCATCTTGCCAAAGGAAGTGCTGTTTTTCTGTTTGCTTGTTTGTTTCATGGTCTGTTTCTGGCTAGATCTGCTTTTCTGCTGTAGTAAAACCCTCTCCTAGTCCCCTGTGCCTTGGATTAGGTGGTTAATGGCAAAGCAAGCAATCAGTAAAGGAATAGTAGAGCACTCTCAGTGTCCTGCTATCCCTTCCTCTGATCAATTTATCTCTCAGATAAACAGGGGTTAGTGAATAACAGAAATAACCATCACTATTCATTCCCTATGAAGAATGTGAAGAACTGACCAGTTTCTTTTTATCATTTGCCCAAGATTTCACAAAATCAATGCCAGATCTCATTATTCTCATTATTTTCACTCATGGCTTATGATCAGATTTTTATAATAACTGATAATAACTGACCATTATATGTACATAAAAACATATATATACATACACATATGCATATTTATGTATATATATCCTAATCTGAGAACTATTTTATCTTTCTTAATACAAAATTTTGTTATAACACCAGTACAGGAATTGTAGCAGGTTACTTTTTGTTTTAGATGCCCATCCTCTTGGAAGTCATTAATTATTACCTCATTTGGACACCAAGTTCACATACTGCTTAAATTAAATCTTTGCATGTCTCCAGTCAGTGTTGCACAAAGACTAATTAATTAAACCTCAGAACACCGTTGGGGAATAGGCAGTATTATTTTTCCTGTCCTCAGATGGGAAATCTGAGATATAGAGAAGTTAAGTGGATTGTCTAAGGTCAGAAGTTAGTCAATAGTAGACAGAGCCAGAAAAGAGACTTGGGAAAGGTATGACCCATTTCTCCTCCCCAGCGACAGAAATAACTCCAAAGAGGCATTCCAAATACTTCCAAATGCATCTGTCTAATCATCCATCTATCTTTACCCTTTATATTCATTGTCTTTACAAGTCTTTGGTATATTTTATTCCTTTTGAAGGGAGGGTTAGCTAGGCAGAGGAAGAGGTAAGACAATAGAATGAATAGATGTTACTCACCCAAATTACAACAAACATTTTTTTTTTTTCAGCGAACAAAATGCAGAAGAGAAACTCACGGTTTGAAAATAATTCTTTTGAATATTATATGCATATATAATCATACATATATTTAATTAAGAAACTAGGATATCTTCCCCCGTCCCATCTCAACCACCCCTCCCCCCATCCCAACCCCTCAACTTGTATATTTGAAAGCATCCTTTTATGTGAAAGCCAACGGATAACAATTCTATTGTAAGAAAAACTAAAAGCCTACTAATAACTTTATAATGGTTTATACAAATGAAAATGCCTGGCATGCTATTAAACTTAGACTTAAAAGGCAATGGAGTAAAATAAAATATTATTAACATAAAATTGAAAGAAACAAAAAAGTTTCTCAGGCACATGAGACTCAGACATGCATCTAGTTTGCTTTTCCTGTTTAAAGTGAGGCAATCATTGTCTTCAATGTTAAAGGGACTTTATGAGCTGATGATTACTAAACAAAATTATTTGCTTTTTAGAGTTATTCTTATTTTTAATTAGACCACATACATTAAAAACAGGGCAAACAGTTAAGACTCCGTGAGGATTTTCCACGTTTAAAGGTCTGAATGTCTTCCTCCAACTTAAAACTGTAATAGTCCTTTGCTCTTTAAGTTGTATACTAAGTAATATACCTGGTTACTTCTTCTATATAAGTCAATGAAATCTCTAGAAATGTTAGGAGCTCCCTTAAGGCGTTGAGACAAGAGTAGCTTATATTGGCTCAACAATAACAAAAAAGAGTAAATATCTTTTTAGAGACCTTTTTTTTTTCATTGAAAGACAATGGTTTATTTCCTAACAGCTAGAAGCTACACAGGAAAATTCTAACATCAGTTATAACCGCTGCCCTCTTTTATTTACAGTGGTTGTTGTCTCCAGCAAATCAGAGACTGCTGTTTTGCCTTTCATGAACCTTTTCTTTTCCAACTCATTATGTTAACTACTTACACTTTTGTTGCATAAAACATCAAATACACAAGGGTATCCACACAACCAAAGTGTAAAAATAAGTTTGTGTTTGTTTTTAGTTTCAGTCAGCAACTAGGACACAATTAATCTCTTAGAAAATAATTTTGCCTCTGTAGGTTTTAAAGGCAAAATTCATCTTTTAAGAACAATGTTAAAAAAAAATGCTCCCCTTATAATATTTGTTTTAACTAGTTTAAGTTACAAGAGTCAATCTATGGTTTTTTGTTTGTTTGTTTGTTTGTTTTGTTAACCATGCTTCAAGCCAAAACAGCTTCAAGGTGTAAGTTTAAAAAGCACTTTTGAAACTTCTTTAGAAAGCTTTGGTGTAAAAGGTAATTTAAAACAAATTAATAAATAATGTCATGCAGTGGTTAAATTGCCATAATACATTTCTGTTTTACAAGTTCCTGGAATTTCTTGTTTGTGTTTGTCATGCTGATAGCAGGCTAGAAGTTAGTCCCTTTAACTGTATTTTAATGGCAATGTATTATAGCATGATTTATCAACATATGGCAGGTGGAAGCTGACACAAATTATAATGAAAATTAAAACAGTCATTTATGCAGCAGGCGATTATCATTTAAGGAACATTTATTTGCAGGCTTTAAAAATGAGGGTTTAGGATCAAATGATTTTAAAATGAAAGTTTTAATGACGGTTACCTTTTTCCTGCAGCCACTCCTCTACAGGCCGATTATATTTGAAGGGGATTTTCTGTTTTACCATTTGGAAGCGTTCATTATCAGTGTTGCCTTTAAAGTTTAAAAAACAGCTTAAAGAACAATCTGAAAAGTCAATAAGTCATTAAAAAACATCCTAGGTTTTTTGGTTTGTTTTATGAAGTTTTTAGAGATAGATATCAATTTATCTTTAGTAGAAGTGGAGTTGAAGTCACTCTGCCCTTGGTCGATAGGTTTAAAGGTCAGGTTAGTCTTAGCCATGCAGTACTCCATCATGTTTTGGAAAAGTGGCATGGAATGGGAATCCTTAAGTGGTTTGGTTGTTTTATCTTCACTCTCTCTCTGTCTCATCTCAACCACACCTTAATTGGGCCAGTTGAGGCACAAGGATCTCCTTGACCCATGAGTAATTCAGCTCTCAGATCAGTTTCACGTGTGAGAGGGAACCCTCACTCCACAGTCAGGCAAGCTCCACTATTAATCTACTGTATTCCCATCAGAAACACAGGGCCATGTCTTGTCTTTTCTTCTCCTCTCAAGTGTTTGCAACAGCTTTATGTTCTGACAGAGGGAAGGCAGAGAGGACAATTTAAGCCTTGATGGCCAAGGGAGACTTCTTATTCCATAAAGGGTGTCCTTGCATCTCATTACCTATGTCAAAGAGGTAGATCAGTACAGATAACCTTTTATATCACTGTCTTTCCAGATTTGTTCCACATTTGTAAAAATAAGGAAACTCAAAAGTCTGGAAATAGAGATAATTATAAATACAGGGATATAACATTTGTAGCCTTTTGAGCACCTATATTTTAAAATAGACACTGATTTTGTATATTTTTAGCCTCCCTCCACTTCCCTCTCTTCCTGTCTCCCTCCTTCTTTCTCTTTCTCTTACCTTACTATGAGAGGACCTTCCTGCATAAGCATCCTTTCATAAAGCCTGTTAGGAATACTTCTTCCAAGCAAGAAATATCTAATTAGTTTCAAGGCTCAAACATAATGGTTTTAACTACTAGTATGCCCCCCTCTTCCTTCATAACTGTTATTACCACTGCTGAATGGTTTCCATAATTAGGACAGACTTGGAGAGTGGTACTGTGGAGATACACCCTTAATGAATATGCTTCAAATAACAAAATGATGAAGCCATGCCTTGGGAACTGTTCTGTGTCATCAACCAACCTCACATTGATCTGGCAGAAATTAGTGAATTGTAATTCATTACTTTGATTCACAGGCCTATATTGCAACTTGGGGAACTCCATTCCAAATTACCAATATTAAAAATGAAAGAAAAATCTCAAACCAGGTGGCCTGGAAACAATTTACAAAGAAATCTTAAAGCCATAAAGAATATTAGAATTGCATATAGCATCAGACCAAATGAATAGGGGCATGTTAAAGCATTTCAATTGCAGGGCCATCTCCATATAGGAGTCATTATTGGCTGGGAAGATTCCACCTGGGAATAAACTTGTACCTACCTTCTGTGTTGGGAAGGTGGGGGTGTAGGATGGGAAAAGGGTAGCAATACTGGAGGATGTTCACAAGGTTCCCCATTCACTTCTCATATAGACAAATTATTCTAAGAAGCTGACTCATATCTTTACTACCAGGAATTTTAAAAATAAGAACTTATAAAACAGGCAACTATGAATCTGCTTCTAGCCTATGTTTTGGGACCGTATCTGGTTGGTACAGGGTATAACACATTAATGTATCAAAAAATTAAATGCAATAAAAACAATTAATAGTTTTGAATTGCAGTGGATAATTTAAATTTTCCTCAAGGAATCATTTCTCATAGAAAACAATGGAGAGGGCAGGCAAGGAGGAAAAAGAGAAAGGCAACTTAATTTCTTGGTGCTTCAATAGCCCATGGTGAAAGACTATAGCTATTGATTAGAGATCATTATAATGGTCTACCTTGGTAGGTCTTGGTACAACGTTCTATTCATTAAAAATAAACTTGGGTAAACTTTTTAGATGTTTTCATAGAAAAAGAACGTGTACCTTTTTGAAACAAACCTACATCTATAACTCATAATCCTACCCTACAGGTGGCAGATACCATAAAGGATTTCATTCATCCCCCAGGGTTTTAGACACAACAGAATACCATACTGAGAAAAGGTAATTGGTTTGGGCCAGATCTGCCTTGAATGTATCCTATACTTTGGGTTTTCTGTATCTGCCATTGTTGGCTACACATTAAATATATTAATGACCTTCATGCTACTCACTATGGAATAGATTAGTGAAGTCAATAGCAACTATAAAGCTACATATTCTTAGCAAAATGCAGGGCAAAATCAGAAGTAACTAAAATTCCAAATGTCTAGAATTTAATTGCACCAAATTAATTAAGAAGCTGTATTTACTTCCTCCAAATACTTAGAGCTCTTGGCCCTCCTAAGCATCCCCACCCTCATCATCTAATCTCTTTCAAATGTAAAGCACCATAGAAAATAATCTGGGGGCATGATACAGGCTAGAAAAAGAAATAACTAAGTTAGATAAACAGTAGGTGACATGGGGAAGGACAGCATGGCCATGATTCAACCTTAGACCCTTCTGAAAGTGACAGAAAGTCATTCTTCTCCACTTCAGCTTTAAAGACATTTAGAAAAAAGTTTTAAGTTTTCCACACCAGATTGATAATATCTGGCACTAAGGATAGCAATCTTGCATGCTGTTAAAAGTTGTGAAAGATGGAAGGTCATTTGGAAAACCAAATTTGTTTAAATTGCCGCATTAACATTGTTCTTAGTCTCTTTTCATGTTCTTGTTGGTTTTTATTTTAATTTATCTCAAACATTAGTAAGAACTATTTTAGAAACATGTGCATGAGAATGAATTATTTGCCCCATGCCCCATTTGCTAGTTGGATTGAAGAGCAAACAACCTTCTAAACATAAGTATTCTTACACGGGGCTACTCTAAAAGCTGAAAAAACCTCACCAAATTCACATACGTTCTTATTAAATCTTTAATCAAATTCAGTCATACATTTCATATAGCAACAAGTATGTACATTTAAATAAAGTGTGAAATCAATTCTTCAACAGAAAGTGATGGCTATACTCAAGAAAGAATGGCCTTATGAGTAGTAAACATCATAATATCATTAAAAGTAGGCATACGTGCATTACTAATTAGAGAAAAAATGTAATAACTTCATTTCTTAAGCACACTGAGAAATCTATAAATTGCACAAAGAGATCTTCAAATAAACCGTTCTTAAATTACTTCTGTGGATCCGACACATATGTGGGACTGGATTTTAGAAAAAAACATATTAGTCACATTTTATTGTACTTAATTATATGTGTGTTTATTCCCATCTATTTTTGATAAGGGATTGAGAATGTTATACATTTGGCCTCTTCTGGTCATTTTCATTTGGCCCACTGGCTCTAATATCAAGTATTTCAATTCTTGGAGACGTGTGCAACAAGCACATGCACTGTGGAATTATAATATTGTGAAGAACAGAATACTTTGAGGTGAAAGTATTGAAGCCCAACTGGTTCATAGTTCCAACCTTTACACTCCAACCTCACATTTTCCACTTTGGGTGAATCCACTTAGGATAAAAGGAAAAGGGAAAGACACGGAAAGCAAACTGACCCTTGAGTAGGCCTGAATATACATCAATCCCTCTTTAAGGTGAGACTCAAAATTTGTTAACAGTCTCCAAGGAACACAATTATTTCAAGTGAAAAACTGAAAAATAGAACTCTTGTGTAGCACAGAAAATAACTTTTACAACACTGTGCTTACACTTTATTGGTCCAAACATAGGTCCTATTTAATTAGAAGGTATACTAATACTCTTAAAGCCATAATCAGTACAGCATAGGAGTTAAGACCATGGGCTCTGGAGACAAATCTGGTTTTGAGTTCTAACTTTATCACTTATTAGCTGTGTGACCTTGGGCAAGCCATTTGGCCTCAGTTTCCCCATTTCTCAATTTACCATAGGACTTAGTATAGAATAACAGGGAGTATAGCATATTTAAACTATTTTATTAATATTACTCAACTCTTTTCTAATGATCAGAAGGAAGCTCATTAGTTCCATGGTGTCCTTCCCTCATCTCACTACCTTATCAATCCTTCATTCAAAAGATGACTGTATTCTATTTGGTCCCACAAAAGTCATCTTCCAAAGAGCAACTGACCATAGAAAATGTAACATCCTTAATATTCCCTTAAATCTCTTATCTATCACTTTATATGTTTCTGTATCTTCTAAAACATACTCAGTTAAACCCATTTCCAAAACAAAGTGGATTTCTAAAACCACTGAAAGTAAAAGAGCAATTCAGGCATTGACAAATGTGATTTCTTGGTCCAGCCACAGGTAATGATGATATACTGCTGCTAAGTTGAGAAAGAGTGGCTTAAAGGTTCTGCCAATTTGCACCAGGCTGGCAGAAAGCACTTTCTTGCAGATAGACTATTAATACCAGCTGAGATGTTGTCAAGCACATGGACATGCTAATAGGAATATCCTAACAATGTTCATCTGTGCAAAATGAATGCCAAAAGTATTTTTGAATTTTGTCTTGAGCCCTGAAATAACGGAGGAAAAATATTTTCTTTATTGCTTTGTTGACACTAAAAAATCAGACTGTGGGTCTAATGAACACTCAAAGAATAAATGCTATGTATTAAAACCAGAGGCAAAAGAAAATCAATGTAGTGGTACTGCTGCCCTCAAGTACTAGGGCAGTTTAGAGGCTCTTGCCATGTGTCTTTCCCCAAAGAACGCTTTCTAAGTTTCAGAGAAAGTATATGACACTGAAGGAAGGGAACTCCAGAAACTCTGAGCTTGGCTCGAGTCACATTTCTGGCATTATCCCAGGCCAACTCAGAGTCAGAGAGGGAGGTGTTGCGCACCCAAAAGCCATCTAGAATATTTGGCCACTTGTAGTAAGTGATAGATGGATCTCAGCAAAGAACTAATATCTTGTATTTATAAAGTGCCTTTCGACCAAGGAGCTCAAAATGCAATTATAAGCATCATCTCATTAATCCTCACTACACACCTTTGGGGCAGAAGAAAA